ACGCACCTATATTTATACATATATTTCAGAATTTCTTAACGGTGGTTGTGGTGCAGCGGTTTGGCTATTGTTCGTGACATCCCGAGTATCTCGGTGTTTCTGGTGCGACCTCACAGCCCGTTTTGGCCTGAGAGGCAGGGTCAGAAGCCCGCCTTCTGAATGAGCTAAATCGTGTCGATGAAGGCGCACCTACATGAATATCTTTTAAAATAGAATGTCGCGCTGGAAAAAGAATCTCGTGAAAACTAAGTAACCAGAAGTTTGAGTAGATACATGACTATGAGGACTGTTTGGAGGCCGTTCTTGTGACCCCCTGCTCCTTTCCTCTATATGTTACATGTAGTTACAGAAACACACATAATTTAGTTTACTTCTAGAGATATTAGCCTAGATCTAGTTTGACTTTAGTCTTAGCAAGCCTTTTTTTTTTTACACCATAAGGTTATATAAGTGCCGAGGAATTAAAGTTGTTTAATGAGGGTGACAAACTCGTTTTGAGACACTTGCAACATAATTAGGTCCTTAATTCTTATAATGTGCCAAAGATTAGAGGGTTGCATGAGAGTAACAAACACCCCCCCCCAAAAAAAAAAAGAAGGAAAAAAAGAGATAAGGACGATAGATCTTTCATATGATGGAAGGAGGAAACCACCCCAGAGCACACACTAACCGCCCACTTTCTAGAAACACCATATTAATATTAAAGATTTCTCTCCCATAACATAATGTATTAGTTTGCCTCCTTCCCCACACCCTTCTTTTGGGTTGCACACTGACACAAAATTGTATTTATTTTGGGGAAAGTATTATTTATTACCTGTGTTTCCTTTAGTTCAGATTGAAGACTTGGAAATCCTGGTATAGTCCACGAAACCTTCTCTGTCCAGCTTCAATTCGCAAAAGAGGGAATCTCTGAGTTGGTGAAAACCACTCCCGCTTGGTGTGTCTCTTTACGAAGCCCCCAGAGCAGTCGTCAGTATCCGTGGATTTCGTTCACCCCGGGGGTGTCTAAGTAAAAATGAAAGAAAAGGAAGCAACGGAGACGAAAGGACCAGTGGCAGTTTTGGTGCTATAAAACAAGGCGAAAAGAAAAGGGAACACGCGTGTTTGTTTCTTCGTGTGTGTGTGTGTGTG